CTATAAAGGAAACGTGCAAAGAAGATGCAAATATAAACAATGAGGAAGATCAAGAAAATATTATAGCATTGCTTACTATAAGCGAAATACAATAAAAATGTAATAATTTTACTATTACACACACAAAGCTTTATTAAGACCACCGCGTATGATGTAAGTATTTATACTATCTTCTTCAAACGTATATATATTTCCAGATATATGCGTTAATACCTTGTTACTTTAAAGTGACGGATATATCAACAGAACTGACCAATACATTAGTATATACATTGTATGAAATATTATATCAGTATGGTCGATCAAACTGGGCAAACTGCTTTGAGGGTTTCTTAATGATGAGCCACGCCCTAACAATATATATTTCCATTGCAGTAAGGACCGTTAATAAACGTTATATTTGTAAAAATATCATGCGATAAAATAATAGTTTCATTTTTTGTTTTAAAAAAATAGAAAAATTTTGTTATAAAATACACACAACTTTATTAAGACCACCAGTCTTATACAGATTCACCGCAGGAAAGAAACACAGATAGAGCTCCTATACGCCAGGGAAAGGACCGTAAATAAACGTTATATTTGTAAAAATATCATGCTAAAATAATAGTTTCATTTTTTGTTTAAAAAAAAAAGAGGAGATTTTGTATGTGTGTGTGTTAAAATACATACACAAGTTTATTAAGACCACCGGTCTTATACAGATTCACTGCAGGAAAGAAACACAGATAGATCCTATACGCCAGGCAGCACACGTATTGAAGCATCAATTGATGAGCTCTACTCATCCCCAGCACAGACACTATCAACAAGCTCTACAAGCTTGATACCTTAATATGATTGAGTGGAGATAAGAAAGAAGAAGAAGTCAACACAGAACCCAAAATCTTCAGGAATGACGCATATCCAGTGGCCACAGTCCATCATGCATATGTTAAGGTTAGCGTATCACTGCATGTTTTTTTTTTTTTTTATGTTTTTCTTAAGATAAAAGATTTTCTGCCATCTCTCTAGCAAGGTTTATAAAGACTTCTCTTTATCTATCTCCTTAATGAATCCGGGAGGCATTTACCATAATCGGGCGGCCCCCTGACCTAAAGGGCTGGGTCTTCGGGCATGGCCTAGACGATGACACCCTGGCCATCCTGGCGTCTACCAAGACACACATCTATAGGTACTTCCTCGGTGTGGAACTGAGGAGTGAAGACCTTGTCTGGAGGTGGACTCTCTCAAGGTGGGGAAGTCTTCCTTGCTGAAGAAATTTGTACACAACTATATATATATATTCCCCTAAATTTATATGCCCTTTTACTATTTTTTTTTCCACCTATGTAAAATTTGATTAAAAGAATCAATAAAATTGTTTAAATTGTCTATTGTCTATCTCCTTAATGAAAATCTCTGATATTCAGGATCTGTTCTTCAGATGGTGAGAGAAATGGTGATACAGTTAGCTTCCCATAAACAATCACTGATGAGCCAAGCCCTCCCAATATTTTCCTCATTGCAGTAAAAGGATTCTAGAAAGCGATTTGTAAAACAAACAGAACTGTGCTAAAAGAGATTTAATTAACCTGAAGGTTTTCTGAAAGGTAATTGATAAATTTGGAAGTCTTCGATCTCGAGTTTTAGAATAGACTAGCCGATTGACCCGGGCATCCCTAATCGCCTTTTCCTTTGTTTTTGGTGGAAGTAATCGATCAGAGAGCCGCCTCGATATCTCCACTTGAACGCCCTATCATATTTGTCTATGGGGGTTATACCCAAATGAGGATACAAAATCTTCTTTCCATGTTTCCCAGCTAAAGTTGCATTCATCAGCAAGTCTGTTATCGAACCACAATTTTGCAGTTCCCCCTAGGTAGTTTTTATTCAAATACTATTCGTTACAATTATAAATTGGCGCCGTGGATGTCACTCTTGTGAAGCGTCCAGCTCTAAACTTTACATGTACATTAGGTCAGCTGATATTACATCCCATCTTCATTGCTAGACGTGCTGCTCGCGAGCGAAAGGACAAATTTGCAACGCAAATTTGCAAATAACTCGAAGAATATTCGGGATAAAGACCTGATATTTTCACTCTAAGTTTTTTCCAGATTCTATTCTATATACTGTTAAAATTTCAGTCAGATTAGTTACGTATTGTGGACGTGTATAGCCGACAAACATACATACATTCACTGACTTTTATATATTAAGGGATTGGCATCAAGTTCCCGTTATAGCAAATATTTCACAAACTGCTTTAAATAATCAATGAAAAGGGAAAACGGGAATTTATTCTAAAGAAACAATTGATATTCGAATATACAGTAGAACCTCCCTTTAGCGTACACCTCTCTAGAGGACACCTCTCTACAAAGAACAGTTTTCAATTGTAAAATTACAATTTTTACTGTTTAACAAATCTCCGGTTAGAGGACACCTCTTCCCAAAGGCACTTTAGCTCTGCAATTAGGTGTTGTCCTTTACAGGGAGGTAGTTCTACTGTAGCAATTTTCTTTCTAGATTATTCTCTATTATTTCAATCTTAAACATAAGTTATATAAAGAAACAGATCCCAATTTTTTTTATATATAAATTTGTTCACTTTACAACCTCAAAAACCCGTTATTTGAAGAAATAGCTTCACATCTGTGAATTAAAAATGTATTTTATACATAATTGTGACCAAGTTTTGATAGATGTTCAATCGATCAGTTTAATTATCCGTTTCTAATTATATTGATTGAATATCGATATTTAGATATCGTACATCCCGGTAGACGTTTTCCTAAAACGGCGACAGCGGGGAGGGAATTGAACAAAGGGGGAAAATTGTGGAAAATCCCGAATTGACATTCACTTCCTCGCTCTGAGGAATTTAGACGACCAGCTCATCTCTTTCCCACGCCTAGTCTTAAACCTTTCATCAGGAAAAAGATTTTTTCTTTCTTTGTGTCTGGTAGGATTCTGATAATAGAATGACAATTGCCATGTCACTGTACTGTTAGCCTTCTTAAACTTTTCGTCAGAAAGGCGTTCCTTATGTTCCTTAAGTTTGCTGTGTGGGAATCTTACTGTATGCTAATATTGTATTACACACCCACGTCTTTACATATGGTCTTATACATGGATTTACCATGGAGTCTCTCTTAAACTTTCGTCCTATGTTCCTTAAGTTTGCTGTGTGGGAATCTTACTGTATGCTAATGTTGTAAATACACGAGCCTTTACATGGTCTTATACATGGATTTACCATGGAGTCTCTCTTAAACTTTCGTCCTATGTTCCTTAAGTTTGCTGTGTGGGAATCTTACTGTATGCTAATGTTGTAAATACACGAGCCTTTACATGGTCTTATACATGGATTTACCATGGAGTCTCTCTTAAACTTTCGTCCTATGTTCCTTAAGTTTGCTGTGTGGGAATCTTACTGTATGCTAATGTTGTAAATACACGAGCCTTTACATGGTCTTATACATGGATTTACCATGGAGTCTCTCTTAAACTTTCGTCCTATGTTCCTTAAGTTTGCTGTGTGGGAATCTTACTGTATGCTAATGTTGTAAATACACGAGCCTTTACATGGTCTTATACATGGATTTACCATGGAGTCTCTCTTAAACTTTCGTCCTATGTTCCTTAAGTTTGCTGTGTGTGAATCTTACTGTATGCTAATGTTGTAAATACACGAGCCTTTACATGGTCTTATACATGGATTTACCATGGAGTCTCTCTTAAACTTTCGTCCTATGTTCCTTAAGTTTGCTGTGTGGGAATCTTACTGTATGCTAATGTTGTAAATACACGAGCCTTTACATGGTCTTATACATGGATTTACCATGGAGTCTCTCTTAAACTTTCGTCCTATGTTCCTTAAGTTTGCTGTGTGGGAATCTTACTGTATGCTAATGTTGTATATACACAAGTCTTTACTTATGGTCTTTATATATCACGGAGTATCTGCAAATGAAATGAATAAAAAAGTAAAAGATAATCACATTTGATGGTAATAATGAATTTATATACAGGGAAAATTAATTAAGACAATGTGAAACAATAATACAAATGTGATATTGTACTGGGATAAGGTGCATAAATTAAGAACAAAATTAATAAAAACGGGTATCTCCTTATCGTGCAATCTATTCTGAATTTTTTATTTTTTTAATTTGAAAAAAAAAAAAAAAACTCAAACCTAAATTTCCTACCTATTTGAAATAAAATGCCATCATTATTTCTAAGATATGCAATTTTTTATTATTGTTATTGTATAGAATGGGCAGACGAAATGGGTACGGCGCCGCAGTGTAGAGAAAAAAAAAAAGCCTAAAAAAAATTAAGATAATATATAATTTTTACACAAATAAATTTACTGGCAATGCGTTTCTTTTAAATATCATCAAATATTATCTCTACAGACCTTACTGCAATGATATGAGTTATTGAATGAGAGGGCTTGGCTCATCAGTAGTGAACCCTCTCAGCGGTTTCGTCAAATTAATCTCTAGACCGCTCTACTATTGTATTGGATTCACTACTAATGAGCCAAGACCTCTCATTCAATAACTCATATCATTGCAGTAAGGTCTGTAGAGATAATATTTGATGATATTTAAAAGAAACGCATTGCCAGTAAATTTATTTATGTAAAAATTTTAACGATAGATGGCAATTAAATTTATAAAAATAATATATAATTAAATAAAATAATCTATTGTATCAATATAAAGTAAAATTAATCATTCCTCCAGGGAAAAGTCTTTTCGAAAACATTTTTATTGTTCTCTAGCTTTCAGGCACGGACGTCCCTCTACAGGAGAAAACATGATATAATTTTTTCTATCCCGCAAGTGTTTCTTTTCAACGAAAAATCAAAATTTATTTCAAGGAGAAATAACGATTATTTCTAACCTTTGGGATGAGGTATGGAAGGGTGAATTGTGAAGAGTAATGATAAACGGAAAAATAAAAGTGTCCAGGGATGGGAATCGAACCCACACTGTTCCGCTATGTCCAGGGTAGCCTAGTGGACATGGTGTACGCTCCAGGAACCTGGGTTACTTAAATAAATAAAAAAAATAGTGGACATGGCATATGCCCGGTAAGCGGAACAGTGTGGGTTTGATTCCCATCCCTGGACACTTTTATTTTTCTGTTTATCATTACTCTTCACAATTCACCCTTCCATACCTCATCCCAAAGGTTAGAAATAATCGTTATTTCTCCTTGGGATAAATTTTGATTTTTCGTTGAAAAGAAACACATGCGGAATAGTTTTAAAATGTCGTTTTATAATCACAAGCCGGATTATATTATATTGTATTATAATTTTTTCTCTTGTAAATGACATCCGTGCCAGAAAGCTAGAGAATAATAAAAATGTTGTTGAAAAAAAAACTTTTCCATGGAGGAATGATTAATTTTACTTAATATTGATGTAAGATATTATTTTATAGAGTTTTAATTTCGTTTTTACATTAAATAAATTGCCGAGTAATTCTGAGTTTTTTTTTTCTTTCCTAATTTTCTACACTACAGTATAATGATTCGCAAATAGAACACAATATATATCTGGTGAAATTCTAAACTGGCGCCGTGGCAGTTTCCCCCCATTTTTAGACCTTGTTGTGGGAATTCTAAATCTATCTCGATTTTAGACGTTATGACTTCTATCTCTTGCTTCAGCTCAGCTCTTAATCTATTACATAGTTTTATTTATTTATCATCAGTTTGTACAAAGTACAATACATATGATGATGTAATGACACATGTCAATCATGCGTATAATCATTTATATATGTGTTTCTATTATACAACATGAAAATCTTGTTATAAGTTATATACAATATGGGGTTGTTGGCTTAAATTATTATATATATTTATCTAATACAAGTATAATACTTGTATATAATAAAAATATTGCAAATTATTATGAATATACCTAAACTTTCCTCTCCAAAAGTTAAACACGAAATCCTAAATGTAAAAAAAAAAAAAAGGTTTGTGTGAAAGAGAAAGAAATATATTTGACCACAAAATTAAGAAATTCGACTTTTAAATAAATAATATGTAAATGAGGAAAGCTTTTAATTTTTATCCTATTTTAATTTGCATAGAAAAATGTTTGCTAACTATTATTAATACTATTAAATACTATAAACATTAATAGCAAACGATAGTTTTTTGAGAGCTAGGAATAAAGAGCAAACAAAGAATATGTGAACAAAGCCAAAGGAATAACATCCGCGTGAATATGAAACTTAAAATATATAGGCGAGCTGTCATTCACGGCCTGCAAAAAGTGTTACGTAAACACTCGCGCTGGGTGTAAACCACCCAGCTTATCTGATTACCAAAAAGTTAAATTTTTTTTTTTTTTGCTTATCCCTAGTACACGTGGTACAGACCATGATAATCATGGTGGGAAGTTAAATGTATATTTTTGAAATCCATTAGGCCACACAATCTATGCTTCACCACAAATAATTAAGCTACCGAGACACTCAAGCTGCTATATTTATTATTTACAGTTTATTATCTTATTGAGTGTAATACACCCAGCGAGAGTAATTAAGGGTTAATACTATTATTATTATGTATTATAACTTTCTACTTGGTTTCTAAATTAATTGCTATAAAATTTGAACTAAATTAGTTTTTTTTTAATCATTACACTTTTTTTAGTTTCGTGGTTAACTTTTGGCGAGAGTGAGGGGAGTGTAATAAATAAAAAACTTGATATTCTCTAAAAGAATTTAAATTGCATCGTCTAATGTGTAGCAGACGAAAAGTTCCCATAATCGTTTGGACGCCAGCCAATTCTCATTATCCCAAGTCCATTAACCTTCAAAATAACAAATGTATGCACGGTTTGAGAGAAAAAAAATGGTGAGACCATCTTTCCTTCAGACGGGCGGTGTTGTATTGGAGACAATAGCCTGCCTTTCATTAACGTTCGTTTGGTTTCTTTGCGCGGGAAGAAAAAAAAAAAAAGGCGGGAAAAAATAGGTTTAAGGTCGTCCCAATTTTAAACTGGTCGTTGGTTGTATTTTATCCCCCCCCCCCCCTCCCCTTCCCTCTTTCAGATTAGATCAGAATTTAAAGGTTCATTTTTTTTTTGTTGGTTGTCTGAAAAATTGCCTTTGTTTCAAACTCTTTTGAATTAGCATTGTGATCAGACGATTCTATCTAGGTCGTCTGGTTTGCTTTAGTTTGAATATTATTTTAGTTTTTTTTAGAAGTGTTTTTTTTTCCTTTAATAAATTTACTTTTTATAAATTATATTTTGTTCGTATATATATTCCACCCCACCTATTGGTTATATATTTACAGTAACACATTGTCTTGGGAGTTTCCATTTGGTTCCAAGCAATAGTGCATTCATAAGAGACAAGCTTACTCATAATATTCATCATAAAATTGTGAAAAAAAAGTATTAAAATTACAAATATATTCTCACAATAAGTATCTTTTTTATTTAAAAAAACGCTAGCTTTCAAGCGTTAATCGCTCTTCAACGGGCTTACTATAATATCGACTTGATCCCACCAGAAATATTTACAAAAACAAACGCGCGCAGCGTAGAAAAATTAAAATAGACATATTCCATAAAATAGTTAAATTACAAACCAATTTAAAAAATTCAGTTATAAATATCCACGCTGCGCGCGTTTGTTTTTGTAAATATTTGTGGTGGAATAAAGTCGATATTATAGTAAGCCCGTTGAAGAGCGATTAACGCTTGAAAGCTAGTGTTTTTTATATAAAAAAAGATACTCATTGTGAGAAAATATTTGTAATTTTATTACTCCTAATATAGGTTGTGGATAAAATTGATTATAATAAATATAAACCTTTTTTGAAAAAGTAAAAATTAAAACAGGTAAATAGTTTCTTTTTATTTATATTGCAAGCTTTCGAGCAATTATACTGCTCTTCAACGGGCGGATAAATAAATAAAAAGAAACTATTTACCTGTTTTAATTTTTACTTTTTCAAATAATTCTGGGTAACTATTGCTCACATAAACCTTTTTGAAAGTTTGTATCTATATTAATAAAATGCAAATTTCATAAGTGGTGTTCGCTAAAAACTTTCGTTACAATGCATCAATTTCGACCAAATTTTCAACATTTATGTAAAACGAGATGGAGCAGGTTTTGCTTAACATCAAAATATTTTTCCTAACATTAACATGCGTAACTTCGGTGTTATCGATTAAATACAAAAAAAAATCAACAGAGTTAATTTTATTTATATATAAATACAAAAAAAAAAAAATTCAACAGAGTTAATTTTTTTACATACTAGCTAATAATCTCAATCTAAAAAAATATTCAAAACAAGCAATTTTAAGATAACACCATATGTAAAACAGTCGGCCAAGAAAACAACAACGATATTACATCTTTCTCACATATTCACACACAATCTTGATTAATAATTAAAACTAATCTTTAACATTGTTTATTATACTTCATAATATATAATATTCGTTAGGCAAACTTTCACTCGGATAAAACCGGGCGAAGCCGGGTACACATCCGCTAGTTATGAATAAAAGAAACATTCGTGCTTTTAAATCCTTTCATTTTATATGTATAGATGGCGCGTTATTGCTTTGTGTTAATTTATGCCTAACTGGCCTTGTCTTTATTGTTTGCGGAAGAGCATTGCTCGATGCAAATATTTAAATGTAATTCTACTGTCCTATAAGCTTATGTCCATAGTTTTCTTGAAAACCTTTTCTGAGATTCCATCCTTCAGTGCTGCGTATATAAGCAGAATCTTCCAATACAGTATTAGAGCTCCGAGAAGCGGTCTGGTGGATTAAATTGGCGAAATCGCTGGGAGGGTTCACCACTGATGAGCCAAGCTCTCCCAATATATTTTTTCATCGCAGTAAGGGCAGTAGAAGTTTGTATTATGTATAAAATAAACATTCGTGCTTTTAAATCCTTTCATTTTATAAAACCTTTTTCTTATGCAAATTCAATGGATACGCCATAATATAGGATACATATTCAACATAATTTAACCTATATAAGGACTTGAATAAATGTAGACGTGAACGCGTTAGATAGAGGGAAGGGTTAGATAAAATTGAATATGAAAATTCGAAACTTTTATAGACGCGTATGATCCTTTTAAAATTAAACAATTTCTACTGCCCTTACTGCAATATTACAGATAACTTCATTAAATCAACTTCCATCATTGCTTGATAGAAATCAATATGACGCCATTTGAGCTTCTTTTATCCCAATCTTAATATTCTTTAAGAAATCTGTTCCATATATTTCTGCGTTATATTGATCCAAATTTGATCATTCCATAAGCTGAGTTATCATGATGGTAGAACTATTATAGTTATGGATGTTCCATATCTCAGTCATATATGTGAATAGGAACGGATTACCATTGTGATAACTATTTAGAATATAACTTATTGTAAATAGCTCAACTTGATCAACTTTCTCCTTCCACGATACTAATTATTACAGATAACTTTATTAAATCAACTTCCATCATTGCTCAACATACTGTAAATAACTACTTTGTGATTTCTTCTATCTGCTTATGTTGTTGCTTATTTGTTTAATGTATATGTTTATTCAATGGTCTTATTTGTTTATTTTCTTTTTGATAATTCTGTTACCTACTCTACTACAATATGAATTATTGTAAATAGTTTCACGCGCAATTATCCAGATCGGATATAGCGTGTCTTGTTTGCAACTGGTAATAAATACTGCAATGGAAAAAAATCAATGGGAGGGCCTGGCTCATCAGTGATGAATCCTCCCAGCAGGTTTCGCCAGTTTAATCTACCATACTGCTGTTATATTGCATTTTTGGAACTTCCTTTTATAGTGATACTGTTGCTAGACTCTTAGAATGGGTATTTTAGATGAACTATGGACATAAGCTTTGAGGACAGTAGAATTACATATAATTATAAATATATAATATGCTTCGAGCAATCGCTCTTCCGCAAATATCAAATTGAGTCTTTTATTAGAACATTTATATTATTTTTCCATTGCAGAAAGAACAGTAGAAATTGTTTAATTTTTAAAAGAATCATACGCGTCTATAATAGTTTCGAATTTTGATAACAGATGACGCGCTAATGTATCA